GGTAAACTTGGAAGTTTGGGGGCAATTCCACAAAACCTAAAAGAGGTCCAGCTCGCCCAAAGGAAGATTATCAAGGTTTGGATAGTTGAGTTCAAGAGAGGAAAGCAAGAGGCAATGAGGAGACTTCAACATAGAGTTTTTCCTTTCTCCCTTTTTGTATTTTACCATTTGTGATGAATTTGGCTTTTGTTAAGATGAACACTAGTATGAGTAGCTAAATATTTAGTCTAAGGTTTTGATGGAACCTATTGAAGGATGAACTTCTTGTTATGTTAATATAGTTTGTTTAGTTTAATCTCTATTTGTGTCAACTATGTTCTTGTTGTAGTTAAGTGATATGATCCTCAATTAGCTGTGCCTATTTAGTATGTATTACTCGGGAGAGAGTGCATATTTAGGTAATTGTTGAATAACACCACTCCCAAAGTATATGAGGGATCAATAACCGAGGGTTTAAAGGCGAAATTAGGAATAACGAAGCTTTGGGTGCGACTAAAGTGAGCTGTATTAAAAGCCAGCTAGCGTAACTCGGGAGAGTGCGTCTAGTAAATTGTCGTGATTACTCGGGAGAGATTTACGATAATAAGAGTGCTCATGATCGATAGAGACGGTTAGGCAAATCTATATGAAACATAACCGGAAGGGATTCCATCAATAGGGAAATCACAACCTTAGATCCTTCTCTTAATTGTTTACAACTTAATCATAGTTAGTCTTTATTTACTTAATTGCAGTCTGTCATAGTTAGTAAAAATATCCTCAATTGTGATTCAAAACGTTTGGGAAGTTGATTACATAGAATTTAGTGAGTCTGACAAGAGTAATTGATAGGTTAATTCCTGGTGGGTTCGACTCTGGGCGAAATACTCAGATTACATTTGCGACGTCCGTTTGTCCTTTTTATAAGGTATAGTTGGGCGTGATCAAATTTTGGCGCCGTTTCCGGGGAACTAACGGTGTTATCAATTAAAATTGAAAGAAGTACAAAAATCTTAGTGTAGTCAGTTTTCTCTATATCCAATCTATACATTGAAATTTTACTGTTTGTTGACTTGGTTGTACAAATGCATGCCTAGAAACTCATCGAGAACTGGTGAAGTATTTGAAGCATTATCAGATCCCGTGAAAGTTTTCAAGACCTTGAATCGGGCCAACCAGAAAAACAAACAACAACAACAAACAACTGAACAATTTGAACCAGACATGGGGGATCACGTAGTAGACCTAGCTGCGCCATTAGCACCGGTGGCACCTCTTGTGCCAGAGGCTGCGCTATATGACTAGGCACAACCCACAGCAGAGAACTTGGCCACAACGATTTTAGTCCCGCAGATACAGGCTAAATCGTTTCAAATCTCGAACAACATGCTGCACTTGTTGCAAAACAAGGGACTATTCTCGGGGTCACAAATCGAAGATCCTCAACAACACTTGAAGAATTTCCTATCAATTTGCAAAACTCAAAGGCAGCCCAACGTAACTCAGGAAGCAATAAAGTTGTTGTTGTTTCCATTCTCAGTGACGGGAGCTGCCCAAACCTGGCTAAACTCACTTCCCATTAATTCCATAACGACTTGGGAGGAGTTGGTCAAGCAATTTGTGAACAAGTTTCATCCACCCAACAAGACTGCTTAACAAATTGATGAAATTCTGAGTTTCAGACAGAGACCAATAGAGACACTACAAGAAACATGGGAACGATTCAAAGGGATGTTGGTTATATGTCCGCACCACGGTATTCCATATCAGATGTTGGGGTAGCGGTTTTACATGGGTTTGGCAAATGGCATGAAGGGTAATGTTGATGCTTCAGCTGGTGGAGCATTTTTGAGCAAAACATGGAGAGAAAGCTAGAGTCTGCTTGACAAGATGGCACAGAATTCGGGATGGACAACCAGGAATGCACCTATCACTCCAGTAGTTCACTCAATGCCCTTAGATCCATCCAACACTCTTGCTAAAAACATGGCCACGTTAATGACACAGATGAGTATACTCACCAAAAAGGTGGAAGAGTCAGAGCAGAAGCAGCAGATACACATTGTAGATACTACCAATGGGGGCTTATGCACATCTTGCATTAGTCAACCAATTGGTAACCAGTGGAATGCAGAAATTGATTATCATCACTACCATGAGGACATGAATTATGTGTCTAATTATGGAGGCCAGAGACAGGGTGGTCAAACTTGGGGCCAACAAAATCTTTCGTACAGGACAGTCCAGCCACAACTCAACAATGGAAACATGGGAGGTATGAGACCTCACAATAATATGGCGCCTTATCAAAGGCCACAAGGATATAATAATCAAAATCAGCAGCAGGGGTATCATTCTCCTCAGCAATAGCATGGTGGAAGACATAAAGATGGGTTTGCTAGACTCGAGGCAATAATGTAACAGGTTATTGGGTCAAATGCAAAAATCAGTGAAAGAGTAGATGCACATGAGTCAGCTATCAAGAATATTGAAGTGCAGATGGGCCAGATTTCAATGTCTTTGAATACTCGTCCTCATAGGACACCACCTGCAGACACTCAGATAAATCCAAAAGATCAAGGCCCGAAGCAGCTGATGGCAGTGAGTCTACGTAATGACAGAGACTTAGACTTAGAGCAAGAGAGGGCTCGAGAAAGCAGATAGGCTGAGACACTTGTACCAGTGCCCATTAAGCTAGATGAGTTAACGAGACTGACATAGGTGACAGTACAACTTGCCCAGTAAGAACATAACACCCAGATTGAGGCTGAAAAAGAAGTTGAGACAGCTAGGAACCGATAGTTGAGGTGGTAGCTGACAAAGAAAATACCCACATTAGTGGGAAGAAGAGACCCCCTGCACCATTCCCTCAGAGGCTGGCTAAGTACCAAAAAGAGGAGCAATACAAGAAATTCTTGGAGATGCTGAAACAAATCCAGGTAAACATTCCATTAATTGATGCTTTGAAGGAGATGCCTGGTTATGCAAAAATGATGAAGGACTTGATGTCCCAAAAATTTGATTTCCAAGACTTGGCAACAGTGACTCTTACTCAGACCTGCAGTGCGATGGTGACTAGACCAATTGCTGAGAAGTTATCTGACCCAGGGAGTTTCACAATTCCCTGCACCATTGGTAACTTTGCTTTCGCCAAAGCACTTTGTGATTTGGGGGCTAGCATAAATCTCATGCCCCTGGCGATCTATAAGAGGTTGGGGATTAGAAGAGCTAGACCCACTTCTATGTTGTTGCAGCTGGCTGACAAGACCGTGAAAAGACCCTCTGGTATCTTGGATGATGTGTTGATCCAGGTAGGGAAATTTGTGTTCCCTGCAGATTTTGTGATTCTAGATTGCAAGGTAGATGAAGAAATTCCCATAATTTTGGGAAGGCCGTTCTTGGCCACTGGGATAACTCTCATTTATTGTGAGACTAGGGAGCTCAAGATGAGGTTGAACGATGAGGAGATAACATTCAATGTGCAAAAATCTATGAGGCGACCAAGTGATTTCGCCAATTGTTCTCTTATTGATGCCGTAGATGTAATCGTAGAAGCTTATGATGAGACGCTAACTATTGAGGACCCCCTTGCTGCATGTTTGGTAACTTTGGATGAGGTGAAGGGGGAAGAACTCGCAGAATGGGTGTTGACTTTAAAGGGTAGAGGGTTTTGGGATAGAACTCTTGAATTCGAGCCCCTGCATTTAGAAAATAGAGGAACTCCTCTAGTCAAGCCATCCATAGAAGAACAACCAAAGCTGGAATTAAAGCCACTGCCTGCCCATCTCAGGTATGAATTCCTAGGGCCTAACTCCACATTACCTATTATTATCTCATCTAGTTTGTTAGATGTACAGGCACAACAACTTTTGCAGGTGCTCAAGGAGTGTAAGTCTGCCATTGGATGGACCGTGGCAGACATAAAGGGGATCCACCCAGCCTATTGTATGCATAAAATTCTGCTGGAAGAGGAATACAAACCTTCCAGGGAACACCAAAGAAGGCTGAACCCCAACATAAAGGAAGTGGTGAAGAAAGAAGTGATAAATTGGTTGGATGAGGGAATTATTTTCCCAATCTCTGATAGCAACTGGGTTAGCCTGGTGCAATGTGTGCCTAAGAAGGGTGGCATGACGGTGGTAAAAAATGATAACAATGAGCTGATCTCTACAAGAATCGTCACAGGCTGGAGAATTTGCATGGACTACAGAAAATTGAATATGGCCACCCGGAAAGACCACTTCCCACTTCCCTTCATTGATCAGATGCTAGACAAATTGGTAGGGAGGTCTCACTTCTGTTTTCTGGATGGGTACTCTGGGTACAATCAAATTTCCATTGCACTAGAGGACAGAGAGAAGACCTTCTTCACTTGCCCTTATGACATTTATGCTTTTCGGAATATGCCTTTTGGCCTATGCAATGCTCCCGCCATATTCTAAAGGTGCATGATGGCCATATTCACTGACATGGTCTAAGACATAATGGAGGTGTTCATGGATGATTTCTCAGTAGTGGGGAACTTGTTCGACGAGTGCCTTATAAATCTGACCCGAGTGTTGAAACGATGTATTGAGCCTAACCTGGTTCTTAATTGGGAGAAGTGCCATTTCATGGTACAAGAGGGCATAGTCTTGGGACACTGGGTATCAAGTAAAGGAATCGAGGTAGATCGTGCTAAAGTTGACGTGATAGCAAAACTGCCACCTCCCACCTCAGTCAAGGCAATCAGGAGATTCCTCGGGCATGCCGGTTTATACCGGAGATTCATAAGAGACTTCTCAAAAATTGCCAACCCTCTTTGTAAGTTGTTAGAAAAATATCACCCCTTCTTGTTTCCTGATGATTGCAGGGTGGCATTCGAGGAGTTAAAAAAGAAGCTAGTCACAACACCCATCATTATTGCCCCCGACTGGGAGCAACCATTCGAACTTATGTGTGACGCCAGTGACTATGCAGTGGGGGCAGTGCTGGGACAGTAGAAAGACAAGCTAATGCACCCGATTTACTATGTTAGTAGAATGCTGAGTGGAGCCCAACTGAACTACACTGTGACTGAAAATGAGATGCTGGCTGTGATGTTTGCATTTGACAAGTTCATATCATACCTGATTGGCTCTAAGGTAATTGTATATACTGATCATGCATCTCTCAGGTACTTTATTGAGAAGAAGGAGTCTAAACCGCACCTGATTCGTTGGGTGCTGTTACTGCAAGAGTTTGACCTCGAAATTCGTGACCTTAAGGGCACAAAAAACCAAGTCGCTGATCATCTATCACGACTTGAGGGAGCTGAAAACTCAGTTGAGGTTGAGGATATTCTGGAAACCTTTCCAGAAGAGTAGCTGCTCGCTACAAGCCTTGAGGAAATGCCATGGTATGCAGATTTTGCAAATTACATGGCAAGCGGTATAGTGCCTTATGACCTTTCCTCTGTACAAAAGAAAACGTTTTATCGTGACTGCCGCATGTATTATTGGGATGAACCTTATCTGCTTCAAATATGTGTTGACAATATGATCCGGAGGTGTGTCTCCGAGATAGACCAATCTTCTGTTTTGTAGGCATGTCACGCATCGGCGTATGGAGGGCATTTTGGAGGAGTCTGGACGGTTGCGAAAGTGCTAGAGGCCGAGTTCTACTAGCCAACAGTGTTTAAGGATGCAAATCAATAAGTGAAGGGCTGTAATGAATGTCAGCGAACCAGGAACATTTTCCGTCGCCATGAGATGCCCATGAACCCAATTCAAGAGGTTGAAGTATTCGATGTTTGGGGGATTGATTTCATGGGCCCCTTCGTCAGCTCCTTTGGCAATAAGTACATACTGGTGGCTATAAATTACGTGTCCAAATGGGTAGAAGCTGCATCACTTCCCATCAATGATGTAAGAGTGGTGGTGGGGTTTTTGAAAAAGAACATATTCACCCATTTTGGGACCCCGAGAGTTATTATCAGTGACGGAGGCACTCACTTCTGTAATCGAGCTTTCGAGAAGTTGCTGGCAAAGTATGACGTGCACTACAAAGTGACAATACCATATCATCCTCAGATCAGTGGGCAAGTCGAAGTGTCTAATAGAGAGATAAAGAGTGTATTGACCAAGACTGTAAATGCCACAAGAACTGATTGGGCAAAAGAGCTAGATGATGCACTCTGGGCCTATAGAACTGCTTTTAAAACACCGATTGGTATGTCACCATATAAGTTGGTATTTGGGAAGGCCTGCCATTTGCTAGTGGAACTTGAACATAGAGCTTGGTGGACACTGAAATAGCTGAATCTAGACATTGAGGCTGCGGGCACAACGAGAATCACAGAATTGCATGAGCTTGACGAGTTCCGATATCTGGCTTTTGAGAGCACACGATTGTACAAGGAAAGAATGAAGAGGTTACATGACCAGAACATTGTTGAGCGACATTTCAACCCTGGGGACATGGTATTGCTTTCTAACTCAAGATTAAGGCTATTCCCGGGTAAGCTCAAGTCACTATGGTCTAGCCCATTTCGAGTGGTCGAAGTATTCCCTTCAGGAGCTGTAAAGATTGCCTCAGAGAAAGACTCTCATATATTTAGAGTCAATGGGCAGAGATTGAAACTATATGTAGGCATGAGTGAACCAAAGGAAGTGTTAGAGATCCACCTGACTGAACCTTAGAGGTCGAGCGAGCTTTAAATGTGCTTGTCTGCGTCGTGCCGCGACATTAAATCAGGTGCTACATGGGAGGCAACCCAATAATAGTAGTAGTTGTTAATTTTGAGTATGGGGAAGTACTAACCAATGCATGTGAGTTTGGGCAGGTGACAAGTCCATGGGAAGCGGAAAGAACAGGTGAAAAATATGAAAAAAATATGCCCAGGTGTGCGCCCGCGCTACCCACCGCACTACAGGCCGCGCATATGGGCAAGTGTTTTGCCTCAGTTCCAAAACACTAGCGCGACCGCACTACAGACCACACATGTGCCCGTGCTAGAAGTGCGTCTGCGCTAGTGGCCGCGCATATGGGCAAGTGTTTTGCCTGGACTAGCACGGCCGTGCTTGTACCGCGCTAGTTGTGCACAACTGATGCGTTTGTTTTCTTTTCCCTTTAACTTACTATTAGTTTAGTCTAAATTTTTACTTTAGTCTAAAATTCCCCCCTCCCCCCATCTAATTTCCCCCTCTTCAACTCTAACGCCCATATCAAAACCTAAACCCCCCTTTTTCTTCAAGAACTCCATCTTCTTCATCTCCCCTCTTCTTCAAATTCCCAACAAAACTTCCCCAAGTATCAAGCCACGCTCTCCCCCACTATTTTTCTATTTTCCCCACAGTATCTCACTATAGGTATGAGTTCTTTTTGTCAATTTTTCCTCTTTTTTTTTTCAGATTTTGTTTTTTTAATTTATGTATTTCTCTAGTTTTTGTTTCTTTTCGTTTCTTAGTAGAATTTGTAGCTTATGTTATAGTGATTGTGGGTGGTATGATTGGTGGAATGTAGCTTGAATTAGTATATGATTATAGGGACATTGTAGTGGTTTTGGGGTTGTAACATGTTTGAAATGGGGTGTGAGTATATAATGCCCACAAGGTATTTGTGTAAATGCCTCAGTGAATGTAATTGTGTAATTGTGACTAATTATGTGTGTAAAGTCTGAGTAACCGCATTGCGTCACAATTTTGTTTTGGGCTGTGCTAATGTTCTTATGTTTTCCAAGTACTATGGCTCCATCTAGGAAACGTCGCACCACAGGTGCCTGTTTTAGCAGTCAAGCTGGATCGTCTAGGGTGCGCGGGTCAGCTCCTGCTCTTCCCTTTGATAGTAGCAGGTTTATGTCTGCCAAAGCTCAAGACCACTTTGCGGATAAGGCCCCTAAAAAGCCGATACCTGAAAGGGGCATTGATATAGGATCGGTCCAATTGGGCTGCCCTCACATGTATATTGAGCTGGTAAGGCGGGGGTTACAAACCTTCATTGACGAGCCGGGCGAGGGGAATGTGATGGTTGTCCGAAAGTTTTACGCCAATGTGAAAGAGAATGTGAATGGAGTTGTAACTGTGCGTAGAAAGGCAGTGGATGCCTCTGTTGAAGCTATACGGACGATGTATCAGCTGCCCGCTCCTGTGGATCCTTATGCTAACTATTATGAGGGGTATGGCAGATCACACATGCAGTGGGCGATGTTCTTTGAAACAATTTGTGTACCCAAAAAGGATATTATCTGGATGAAGTATGGTCGGAAGTTTCACTCTTCAGCGCTGACCTTTGAAGGGAAGTGCTGGTTGTATATTATCAACAACCGCCTGATCCCATCTTTCAACACTACGGAGGTGAATGGTCCTCGAGCGGCTCTGATTTGGTGCTTTGTTAATGGTCACGACTTTGACGTGGCCAAAGTGATTCATGAGGAGATGTTCACCCGTTGTCCAGTAAAAAGGTGCGGGTTCTTCTTTCCTTCATTGGTTACTAGACTTTGCCGGGCAGCTCGGGTGCCGGAAAATCTGGATTTAGATGGGAGAGTGCCAAGAGACCACAAGTTCCGAGCTGACAAGGTCACTACTGGTAAGGAGCCGGTGGCAGCAGGTGGTGATGCTAGTGGTGATTCTGATGACTCTGAGGATGAGGAGGCTGAGAAGGAGGATGCAGAGGCCGAGCCACAGGCCCATAAGCAAATTGCAGCAGCTACAGCACCATCTAGGACTGCAGCACCAACTGGAGTTGCTCGGGTTAACCAGTTCATAGCTTTGGAGCAGGAGGTGGCTAGATTGCGTACCTTGGTTGCTAACTTGGGTACACGTGTTGACGCGGTGGCTGACAGGCAGGTGAAATCGAAGAAGAGAATTTTGGGCTGGTTGAGAGCTTTGGGTCGTGCTTGCAATTTGAACCCAGACATGGTCTCCGGTCAAGAGTGATCTTTCAGGGAAGTTTCTTTACCTCACTATTCTTTATTTTGTATGCCATGGGGACACGGCTTCATTTTAAGTGTGGGGTTGGGGTTATTTCAATGTATGTATGTATATGTAACAAGTTGACTGTTTGATGTTTCTTTGTTTCTTCTTGATTGTTTTTGGTGTTTTGAGTAATGGTTACATTAAGTAAGCTTAAGGTAGGTAAGTTGACTTGTCCCGAAGACGAATCTTTTTCGATGGGGTTCTTGAGGGTCTAAGCCGACGTAAAAAAATAGGAATATGGGGACTCTTCGTGATGACGGACCTTTTATGCAGTTTTCTTGAGGGAAGTAAGTCTAAAGAAAATACCAAAAAGATTTTTTTTTTGTTTTAGGTAGTGTAGTAACTCCCCCTTGGTTTTTCTTTGGGCCACGATTCTTTTCCAAGGGTTTATCTTGAACCGGGTATATTTAGTTTTTATTTATTTAGTTTTTAGTTTTTAGTTAGTATTGATGAGCTACAAGCTGAAGTAGAAAGAGAAACCCTTGGCGTTGATACACTTGAACACAGTAGACACTAGAGTGTAACGCTTAGTCTCAGTGGTTGATTCTTGCTAAAGTGCCTTAAATTGTATGTTTGTAACTGACTTGAATACTCAAAAGAGAGTGTCCGGATAAGCTAATCTGGAGTGAGTCATGTGCCATGTGTGTGTGATTTGTACTGTATTCTATGCTTTACATTCGATGCCTAGAACTTGCCCCGTGTGTTTGCAAATGAAATAGTAATTTCATTCAGTCTTAGAAGTGATATAGGCATTTCTTTGTTAAGCTAGATATATAAAGTGGACCCACCTAAACGTAATACATCATAGTCAACCCCGTTGAACCTATAAGCCTGTTTCTTTAGCAACCACATTGCGAACCTTACCCAATTGTTTGAATAGCCATCTGTTTGAACCCCTTTACCTCCTGTAAGCACTTGAATGGTAGTGAAATATGCAAAAGCTAAAGTGTGGGTTGATGGTTTGGTTTTTGAGTGGAACCGATGAAATAGAGGAAAGGTGCAATTGTGTGGAAAACTAAAAGAATAAGCACCACTTAAAAAAAAAGTAAATGTAGTAGTTGGTAAGTGGTAATTTGATACAATTGCACCTAATGGAGTGAGATGTTATAAATAAAAATGTGGTGGAATGTGTGGTTGACATAAGTATGGTTTTGAATGTTAATGTGATTGTATTAAAAGTGCTTAGGGAGGTTAGTCACTATATCCAAATATATCCTACCCGTCCCTTAGCCTACATTACAACCAAGTGAAGTCCTAATTGATCTTAGATTGAATAGGCTCGATTAGTAGAGTAGTACACTACGGACAAGCCTATGGTGCGTCTTTGTGGCATGTGAATGTTCTTTTTGAGAGTGAGCGAATTTTGTTTATCTAAGTTCCTAATTGTTCTTAATATTAATATTTGCGGAACTACTCTCTTGTGTGATGTGAGGGCATGTGATTCACGAAGGAAAGGTAAGTCTTGACTTATGTATAGAGTAATTTGAGTAAGTACGAACATTGCACGGCACGTGAGAGTCGACTTTTGAGGCAAAGATTGTTCACTACTAGGCGTAACTTTGGTGATTTGTTCTTGGTGTGATAGGCTAGGGGAAAAGGCTTAGTGAAGGAACCTTTATAGAGTGTGGTGGATTGCTCAAGGACTAGTAATGATTTAAGTGTGGGGTGTTGATAATAGGCTAGATTCATATAATTTGGTGACTATTTATGCCCCAGCTTGACTATGTTTCACTATCATAGGATAGTTAAATGATGATAAATTGGCTCTAATTGCGAATTTCATGTTTTGCAAGAACGCGTTACATGCATGAGGACTTAGAACTATAATTGGAGCTAGATTGAAGCAAGGAAAGCCCCTCGGAGCTGAGTACGTGGGAAGAAGAGAGAAATAAAGGCTGAAATGATGACCCAGACTAGCATGCCCACTAGCGCGACCACACTAGCCCAGGAGTTCGAGGCAGAATGGTAGGCCACATGCACGGTCATTAGCGTGCCCATTAGCACGATCGCACTAGTCCAGTTCCAGAAAAATAAAGTTCAGGGGTAAACTTGGAAGTTCGGGGGCAATTCCACAAAACCTAAAAGAGGTCCAGCTCGCCCAAAGGAAGATTATCAAGGTTTGGATAGCTGAGTTCAAGAGAGGAAAGCAAGAGGCAATGAGGAGACTTCAACATAGAGTTTTACCATTTGTGATGAATTTTGCTTTTGTTATGATGAACACTAGTATGAGTAGCTAAATATTTAATCTAAGGTTTTGATGGAACCTATTGAAGGATGAACTTCTTGTTATGTTAATATAGCTTGCCTAGTTTAATCTCTATTTGTGTCAACTACGTTCTTGTTGTAGTTAATTGATAGGATCCTCAATTAGCTGTGCCTATTTAGTATGTATTACTCGGGAGAGAGTACATATTTAGGTAATTGTTGAACAACACCACTCCCAAAGTATATGAGGGATCAATAACCGATGGTTTAAAGGCGGGATTAGGGATAACAAAGCTTTGGGTGCGATCTAAAGTGAGCTGTATTAAAAGCCAGCTAGCGTAACTTAGTAGAGTGCGTCTAGTAAATTGTCGTGATTACTCGGGAGAGATTTACGATAATAAGAGTGCTCATGATCGATAGAGACGGTTATGCAAATCTATATTAAACATAACTGGAGGGGATTCCATCAATAGGAAAAATCATAACCTTAGATCCTTCTCTTAATTGTTTACAAACTAATC